TGCAACTGCTCTTCCAACTGCTGGGAAGAAGCTACAATTTACTTATGTCCTACTGCACTCAGGTAAAATGGGGTGACAAAGGATCAACAGAGGAAGGAGCAAAACTAGAGAAGCCAAAGAACGCCATCATCAAATTACCAGAACAGGAATATGAGCCATGGGAGCCAAAGCCAAAGAAATACCATCTGCAGAAGTTGCCCTCTCAGAGGACATGGTATTCTCCCATAAAGGTAAGTTATGGAAGGACTTCAGACAAACTCTTGTGGAACTAAATGAGGGATGACCTCCTGCTCTCCTTTTCCAAGGCTTGCTTGTGTCATGCACATCTAGACAGAATCTTGAGCAAATGATGATCCCTGTGTTTTAAAGCCAACAGTGCTGCAAGAGTCTGATTATAAAAAGTTATACATAAAAATGTGTTTTTTGTTTTTATTGAGATTCTTGAATACATTATTAAAAGGCAAAGGGAAACAGTCTGAAGAGACCTTGTTGGTTTTATCCCAATATCCCCCCTCTCTTTATTGCCTCCCCATGACAAATTGTACATACATACGTGTGTGTGTAAATAAATAAATAAATAAATAAAAGAAAAGAAAAACTAATCTCTATTTTCCAATAGAGTTAAGAACCACCTTAGATTTTATGAGGTAGAATAAATAAAGCAGGTAAGGGGTTTTTTTTCCTGATCTTTTCTGGGTAAGGACAGTTACGTGAGCCTGAGAAAAGATATAGCTCTTATATCTTTATAAGAAACTTTATTGAATCATTAAAGCAGCATATCTGTCATCTATCTGTTAAAGTAGCTGCATCTTATTTCAGGCTCACATGGAAGCCTGGAAAAAAAAAAAGGATGTGTGGGTAAATGAATAACAAAGAAGTAACTGCACAAAGTATGAAGCATTTCTTCCAAATCATTTTCAAAGCATACTGTACACAGCTCTAATAGGTATGCTGCTTCTCAATATTCTTATCCAATCTGTATCAGAAGTGCAACTCCATGATGTGTTCGTCATTTGGAGTTTTAGTACCTTATTACTTTCTGGAACATTTTGTCTATCATTCTAGGGCAAGTTGGATGCTTTATGGGCCCTTATTAGACGAGGCTATGACCAAGTTTCTCTTCTGAGACCACAGCCAGGTGATAAGGTAAGATATTGTAGGTGCCCTGTTATGGAACTTCCCTGTTCCATAATAACAGTGCTCCTGATCTTTCAACTTGTCTTTCAGAATCTTGTATCACTGAAAATTATATCATTATAATCAAATATTTTCAGCGAAAACCTTCTTACGTTTTTACCTTCTTGTGTCCTTGTTCATTTTCTTGGAGCTCAAAGCTTGTATTGTAAGGTTAACTGGGTCTTGCCATATATTAAATAAATACCTTTATTCTGGGAAGAAAAATATTGGCATTTATTCTTAATAATCCCTATAATTGAATTTTACTTCAAATCATAGCAGATGTGCACAAATAAAATTGGAGGGGTCTACTCCATTATATACATACCTTACTTGGCCTTTTCCATTCCATTCCATTTCCATGAGCCATTTTGTTGTCCATTTTCCAGTCTGAAGAGATCTTTTTGGAAACCATTATTAATATTTATGAGTTTTTGCCGTCCTGAAAAATGTGATGTAATCTGCTAACTTGGCTACTGAATAAAGGCTGAGATCACCCATCCTGATGTTTTCTCACTGATTCCTATCATTTTATTTTTCAAAAATGTTTTACAAATCATCTCCTCAGCCTGATTTTCAGCAACTTGGGCGGTGATAGTACTCAGCATGAAATACCATCTCAAATACTCTTATGACCTGGGGTGAAAAACAAGGAAGCAGCATCTGGTTCAAATTCATTATTTCCTATGGCTGGAACATTTGATACTCTTTTTTTAAAAAAGAAAAGTCTTCACTTTGCTTTTCAGTCCAAACATAATAAGGGAATTCTGAAACCTTGGTTGACCAAAAGCCTTATACAAAGTGTCAGCATTCTCTTCCCAAATTCATTTCAGTTTTGTTGAAAATGTTTAGCATTTGCTGATGAAAAATCACATTTCTGAGCAATACACAGAGGATGGAATTCAATAGAACTTATTCCTAGGATAAGATACATGGCTGCAATATGAACTGGCATTCCAGCATAGAAGGATGCAATGAAAGAGACAGAAGCAGAGAGAGATTTCTTTAGAAGTGCTGAATGTGACCCAAGCAGCTTCTTGTTTGTCATAAAGAAAAGGAAGGCAGAAATTATCCTAACCACTAAATGCTAGGAACGCATTATGCAGGAGATCTGAAACTGAAGCTTTTTGCTTCCTAAAAGTAGCTAGTCAAGTAATCATTCCAGATGCTATCATAACCATGCCGTCTCCTGTAGGCAAACTCAAAACACATTTACTTGATTTGAGCCTTATTAATGACTTATTCAGTCATAGAATTCAGTATGACTATTTTCCAGGCAAGTGGGTACATATGCAGGTTTATCTGGGAGTAAGTTCTATCACATAGAGTGGGATATATTTCTAAATAAGTAAATATATCTAAATCAGTGTTTTTCAGTCTTGGCAGTTTTAAGATATGTAGACTTCAACTCCTAGAATTCCCAGGCAACCCTGGGAAACACTGATCTAAATCAGTATGGATATGCTTGGACTGAAGTAAGGCGTTTCTGGCCCTTTAATTAAAGGGGAATACAAGATATTCAGTCAGAAACAGTTCCTCGTGTCCAGATTAAATTCTGTCCCAGCCTTTAGTCAGCGACCAAGCTGTAGGCTTGTTCAGTTTGATGGACAAATACACCAACAAATCAGAGGTACACCCATGAGATCACCGCTCTCAGGACTCAGCAGAGATTGTAATGCAGTGTCTAGAAACTATAGCACTTCCATGCATATAACCAAAAGTATGGATCCGGTATGTAGATGACACCTTTGTTATAATAAAAAAAGGAAGAACTAGAGAAGATACATGAAAGTAACAACATCTTCAAAGGAATAAAATTCACTAGAGAGGAAGAAAACAACACGCTACCCTTCCTGCATACCCTCATCAGCAGACAGAGGAAACAACAGCAAATTAGAAACTCAAGTCTATCAGAAAACAACCCACACTAACCAAGTACTCCATTACCAACCTCCCACAAGAGCTGTGTAAGAACATTATTCAAGCAAGCACAAACATTGCAGCAACCCAGAACAGCAGAAAAAGGAAACAGACCACCTATACAACATCTTCCAA